AAAATACTTGGGCCTTATCATATTGAAGGGAACTTGAAGGCTGGGGGAAGAGAGAATTAAACCAATATTTTCCTCCCAACAGTCCAAGACCCTAAAACAGTTAAGGGGATTCCTAGGAATTACAGGCTATTGTCTCCTTTGTATAGCAGGATACTGTGAGATCACATGATCCCTCTATCAACTTATAAAGGAAGCCCAAAAGGTAGATACCCATATTTTAACCTGGGAACCTGATTCTCTCTTGCATTCAGAAATTTAAATAAGCTCTTCTAGATGGCCCAGCACTGAGCCTACTGACAGGGTACTGCTTCAGATTGTATGTTGATGAAAGGCAGGACATGGCTTTGGGAGTGCTTGCACAGGATCACGGACCTACTCAACCGCCCATAGGATATCTAAGTCATAAATTATACATTGCATCAAAGGGATGTCCTGTATGTCTTAGAGCTGTGGCTTCCATGACTTTCCTGGTACCAGAGACACCCAAGACTTTAGACAAAAAAAAAAATCAGTCTTATTCTCATGGGCCTAACTTTACTAGATACTTGGGATGGACACCCCCACTCTAGAGCAATGTATACAACCATAATTTTATAGGTCTAAGACTGGTTTGCAGCAGGTTGATTTAATCACCCTGGAATTAGGTGGGAAACCCCCAATGGCACTCATTGGTCCTATGGAGCCAATTTGTGGTCCTGGCTATCCCCTAGATGAATAGGGAGATGCATGCTAGGATTTCCATGGTTACAAAGCAAGAGTGTAAAAAATATCAACAAACCTGCAGATTTATACCATCTATGACATCAGTGGTCTAGGAGTGTGTTTCACTGGTATGATCATTTGGCTTCTATCTTTGTCCCTTCTCTAGTATTAGAGGATGTCATGCAACACATCTAGGCCTTAGCTAACTATACTCAATGGGCCTTAAGTGACACTTCAACTAGTCTCTCTCTCCTAAATAAAGAAGTAAAAATTAACGAGGCAAGCTATCCTCCCAAATTGGATGACATTAGACATCTTAATAGCAGCACAAAGAGGCAGTTGTGCAATTGCAAAAGCTGAGTTTTATGTGTACATTCCTTCCGCTAATATTTTGATGGCTGTTCAAGAAATTAAATGACAGGTGAATGCCATGTCAGCTTCTGTAATTCCCTGGACCTTTTCCTTACCCTATTGTGAGAGGCTTTTAATGGTGGAAACATTTGTTAGTTGTATTCATAATAGTCCTGTTGATTTTATTATTTGCCCCATGCATACTTAGCTGTTTCTTGGCCTTGTCTCCTCCAGACTTAAAGCTATACACTTACCCAAGAAGAGAGTGCCTGGTGTCTATGGAGGACCTTTATATAGTCCCTCTGGATCACAACTATGACCCCCTTCAGCCAGAAGTAGCCAAAAACAGTCATTGCCCCTTGCACCCTCACAGTGGTTAGGGGTACCTCTTCAGAAGGGGCAATATTATAGACAGCTAAGTTAGGAAGAAATATTCTAGGCAGTCAGGCCCTTGAAGGAATCAGTGCAGAGGATGAGAACACATAAAAACTGTGAATGGAAGTGCATCTGTTGAGGGCCAGGCCTCAAGATAAAGACAGAATGACCAGGCCTACAGGCCTCGCCAAGGAATAAGTGATATACTGCAATTGGTATCACCTGGTCCAATAAAGTCTAGACAGATGTCAGTCACCCACTTGGGTGACCAGGACCTTTTGACTCATCTCTTCCTAAAAAGATCCTTGTTCTCTACACGTACCCTTGCTATGGCTGGCTTTCTTCCCCACTGGATCAGAATTACCTAAGCACTTATAGTTGTAATCTGATTGACTGATCATAGTTTTGACCCACGTCATACCTACCTTGTGATTTTGTACCCACCTTGTGATTTTGTAACCACCTGTGATTTTGCTCTATAAAACTTCCTGTGTGAAGTGGGGTCCAAAGCAACCCACTTTTGCATCCTCTTCTGTCTCTGAGGACCTATCTCTCTCAATAAAATTTTCCTACTCTTAACCTCGGTTGTTCCTCAGAATTCATTCTTCAGTTTGGGGGAACCCAAATTCCGTATATCTGACATCTAGCAAGTTTGGAGTTGCATTTATTTCCCCTATATCACTCCCACTAAATAAACACATGAGTTAACTCAGTTAAAATCCAGAAGGTTAATCTAGCAATTGTAGGTAAGTAAGTGCTCTCACTGGAAACTTTTTCTGTTTCCCCCTAGAGCTTTTAAGCTAAGTGTAAATTGACTATGTGCTTAGGAATTTACCAGCTCAGACAGACTGAAACAATTAGACAGGAGGCCAAGTAAGAGTGAGAGAGGGAGACAGACCTCAGGCATGTGAACGACATTCCTTTTAAAGGCTTCCCTCTATATCCTTTCTCAATTGGATGAAACCCTAGAGGTTTGCTTGGCTAAACCACTTCCTCTCAGAAGTGTCCATCCCCAGAGGGAGCCTGGGATTTGTAGTCTTGAAATCAGCTGACCTGTCTTAATCCTTTAGAGGGATTCCCTGGCAGAAGGCATGCAGTGTCAATTTCAGTAGCTCTCTATGTGATGAAATGCCCCATATGTTTTTTACAGAACACAAATTCTTTCCTGGATAAAAGCAAAGCCTCTGTATATTCAACAGAACTGGTCCCCTGGCCTTTCATTCCAATTCCTTCTCACTTCCCTCTCCCTCCCTCCCCATCACATGGCAGCCTCCTGAGGGAGTTCTGGATACAGCATTGCTGTTGTTGGCAAAGGAACCTTGGAGAAGCAGACCTAGTGAGGGGTAGGAGCTTGGCCAGGCAGCAGGAAGTCAAGCTCAAGGGCTGAGTTCCCCAGCCACGTTGTTCCAAAAGCTACCTTTTCATAGTTTTCAAGGCAAAATATTTATATGATGGTTGTTATGAAATAGAAATAGTATGTGAAACCAAGTCCACAGAAATGCAGTCATCCTTTGAAATCTAAGGGGATTGGTTTCAGGATCCCAAGGATTCTAATATCCTTGGATGCTGGAGCTCTTCATACAGAATAGCACGGTATTTCATAAACTCTATGCATTCTTCCATAAACTCTAAGTCATCTTTGCATTACACATAATATCTAATGCAACATAAATTCTGTGGAAATAGTTGTTATCCTGTACTATTTAGGGAATAATGACAAGGGAAAATAGTCTGTACATGTTTAGTAGACATGTAATTATTTTTGGAGTATTTTTAATCTGCAGTTGGTTGAATTTGTGGATGTGAAACCCATGTATGCAAAGAGCTATTTCATTTCATTTTGTTTTGTTTTTTATTTCCCCATCAACTGGTGCATTGGCCTGACAGTGCCTTGGCTTGGGTTGGACAGATGATCTTCTTCTCTGGTGTTCTGAATCCTCCAGCTCTCATGTAGTCTCAATTAGGGGTCCCCTGTGTGAGGACACACACTTTGATCATTATCCACGGATTCAATAAACACGTTCAACTTCATCCAGATATTAGTGATGCATTAAAATCATGATCATTTAAAGTTCTATTAAATTTCTAGTGGCTGTTGACCATATCTGAAACAATAGATATTGAAAGTATGACTCCTGTCATGTTGGAGTCGATATTTTCACACCCCCCCCTCCCCCCGCACACAATGATCTTGGGCTGGGAATGGTTCTGAGTGGTAGAATGCTTAGATAGCATGCTCCAGGGCTTGGGTTTGATTCCCTAGCAACCCCCCACCAAAAAAAAAGATGATTCTCTCATTCATATGTTGTATCCTAATCCTTTATGTGAAGATATTTGGAGGTAGGGCCTTTGGAAGGTGATTAGGTCTTCAGAGTGGAACCCTCATGAATGGGACTAATCTCCTTATATAAAAGACCCCAGGGAGCTATTTTGTGTGTAGCGTGCATGGGAACACAGTGAGAAGGTACCATTTATGAATCAGGAAGCAAATCCTTACCTGCCTTAATCTCAGACTTCCTAGCCTGTAGAACTGTCAACAATACATTTCTATTGTTTATAAGCCACCCAATCTAAGACAATGTCCTGCTCCAAACGGCTGTTACAGGCTTGCTGTGCCCTTATGTGCTTGGCTTGCAATCCATTAGATGGCATAAACTTCCCAGAATTGGTACAGAATGGTTGAGTGGAGAAAATACTGGACTAGCAGTCAAGAGGACAATGAAACTGTTTCTTGGGGGCAATGAGTCAACTAGATACCTGTGAGTTAACTAGGTGACTTTAAGCCTGGGCATTACAGGGGACCAAATGCCAGTCCCCGCTTAGCTGGAATTCATACAGCGGACAAAATGCATAAGATAAAAAATGGAGACCAGTGCTGTGGAACAAACACATCTCAATTCATTTCAGTAGATAAGTGGTCTGGAAGGTGCTCTGTGTTACCCAGGGAAGGTCCTAGGGTTACTAATGCTGTGAGTGCCCTTAAGGCATCAAGGACTTTGTAGGTATTGTTCTCTTTCATTATAAATATTGGAAATGAAAACGAGCTACCTAACAGTGAAGCAATTTGAAACAAGTTTCTTCTTGGGCAGAAATAAAAAGACTTTAAAAATCTACATGGGGCATAAAATCATGGCATGGGACTAAAAGGAGGCCGAGTTCTTCTCTGCTGGAGTGTCAGGAGGTTGCTACCTGGCTTAGAAGGGCTTGGTGAGTGTTACAGCGTAAAGCGTAATGAATGAGGCTCATCCTAGATGGCCCTGTTTGCTTTGCTCTGGTCCTTGGACCAATTATCAGTGGCCTTGGCTGTCTTATGAAATCCTTTAGGACAGTGATGGCAAACCTTTTAGAGCTTTCAGTAATAACAAGTAGCCCACTGCAGCATGTAGGTTCACCACCAAAAATGACTCCAAACATCATCAATAACAATGCAGAACCACATCAGATTTGCACCTTTTGCTCTACTGCAGCAAGTACATTTGAATAATTCTTAATGGTACAAGAGATAAATAGAAAACTTCCTCCAGGAAAACCCTTTGACCTGTTGGAGAATAAATAGGAAAGTAAAGTCCTCATTTCTGAGAGAAGGCACAATTTATTTAGTCAAATTATTTTACAACATAGTCTCCATTGACAGTTGTCAGCTTAACACTTAATATAGTTAAAAAAAGTCAACGATTACCTGCAAAATTATATATATTTTAATGTCTAAAAATAGATTGCATATATAGAGCAGGAAAAATCCCCCACCTACACAAGGGAAAGTTTGGTTGTTCTGTTCTGTGTTCTGTTCATTGCTGTTCTGTTATTTACAAACATGTTCAAAGCATTAAAAATTTAAATGGATTTCTTTGCCTTGCTTGTACATGCCTGTTAAATAACTGTACCAGTGCTTCTCTTCCTAGTAAGTCAGTGACTTAAATGCCCTGTTTTCTTTTCAGCAATAGTCACATTATGCTTTTTAAAAACCAGCTATAAAAACGTACAAATAGCCCAAATGTACAGATTGACAAAAGATGTACAAATTACATTTAAAAAAATAACGATGATTGATTTTATAGTAAAGTTGCATTTGTGACCGAGGTCAACTCGTTTCTTTATTCTTTTTAATTTTTTATTTACTTTTTAATACTGTGAGATATAGCAAAATAACTCTGCATAATTTATACAGTAAGTTGCCTTTTGATTGGTTGACCCTGGTCGGATGGTCTGACAAACGCACAGCGCTTGCGAATCTGTTTGAGTTTAGAAATCCCTATGACTTCTCAAAGTTCTGGGACTCACTGTCACTTTAAAAAAACGATATTTAATTCTCTTTCAGGAATGTTTGTATTTGCATGAGACTCTCAGTTCATGTTTTGACTATTTCTGGACAGAATGGTCAGGCAGGGTGCACACTGCCCAAGAAGGGTATCTGCAATGCCCATGGCATTTTAAATACACACATATACACATGTTCTTTCTTGCAAATTCCAGTTGGGTGAAAACTTCACTGGTCTTACAGCCAATGTTCCAGTTGCCATCCACTGAGTTAGGACCTCCTAAAATAAGACTATAAGCCTATTGCCTCTGTTTCCACTAAATCTTAAACCAGACCAGGATTGGTTATGTCTGGGGTTCATTATTGTATTGAATCCTACACAATAATAAAACCCGTGTGTTAAGAAACTGCTTTGGTCATAAAAATATAAAAAAATTTACAGCTTCTTTCTCAGAACCATGATATAAACATCCCAGTTATCTAAATGTTCAACCCAAAAGATGACAGGAGACCGAGAATCCAAAATGGCATACTGGCCCATGGAATGATCTGTCTCTTTGTTCAGGTAGAGGAAGCAAGAGTTACTGACATAAAAACAAAAACAAAAACTGTTTTTAAAGAACAAATACAAAGGTTCTATCATCAAGAAAGAACATCCAGTTTTGTTTGTTTTTTCTTTTCAAGGTCTCATATGTCCTTTAGAGTCCAAAATATCCAGGAAGAGTAAGGACTGGGGCTTCAACTGGAAGACCACCGATAGTTAAGCTTCTAGTAGTAGCTGCCTAAGTGTGAAGGCACGTGGGTGTTAGGATGGCGGGGGACATTGGGGTTGGGGTAGATCCCACCAGTGGGGGAGGTCCAGTATTGTGACGCTGCTCCAAAGAAGCTGGAAGAAGTGACAGGCATGGAGGATGGGTGGGGAGGGACAAAGTTCACTTTCTGTTGGTGGGTGTGGTAGGAAGGCATGTAGGAAATATCAGAAGGGTACTTGTACATGGACGACTCAGTCGGATGTGGCTGCAGAGCCTGGGCAATGCCATGGAAGTCAAATTTATAGGCATATCTTTTGCCATGCACTTTGGTCATAATGTTTTTATCATAGTAATATCGAAGGGCCCGGCTCAGCTTGTCATAATTCATGTTGGGCTTGCTCTTCCGCTCCCCCCAGCGCCTGGCCACCTCGTCGGGGTCTGTCATTTTGAATTCTCCATTGGTTCCCTCCCAGGTGATACAGCTGGCGTTGGCACTGTCGGAGAGTAGCTCAAGGAGGAACTGCCACAGCTGGATCTGCCCACTTCCTGCAGGCAGTGAGGCAAACAGGAGAAAAAAGTCTTTGAGCCTGGAGAAGTCAGAAGCAATGTGCTAAGCGTGGGGATTCACTTATTCTTTGAAAGAAACCCTTTATTTCTTTTTATGTTCAGGATCACCTTGACAACCCGTTCTTAGCATTCTTATTTAACATAGATGCATAATCATGTATTATAGGAAGCCCTTCTGGACCTTGTCATGGTCCAGAGGAGTCCACATTTATAACCCCAAGGAAAAGGTACTGGAATTCCAATAACTAATTCCAATCTACTGCTTCTGGTGCAACTCAAGGCAACAATAAAGACACAAATACATATCTGTAGTTGTGGGGAGCCAAGAGGGTCCTACATCCAGTTAGAATAATGACTAACCAGAACAAAGGCCTCGACCCAGGGCCAAACCTGGGTTTTATTAATTTGTGGAGAGGGGAGTGGCTCAGGGATGAGTAACTGAGAGAAAGGCAGGAAGTATGTGAGCGCTGTGAGCTGGGCTGAGTGGAGGACTGATAGCGCCACTGCAGTATGCAGAAAGAGAGAGATATGTAGAAAGAGTAATCTGCATATCACAGATTGAATAAGTATCTCCTATTTGGGGGTTGGTGCTTCGGCTTTGATGTCTGGTCTTCATCCTTGAGACTCATAGATTCTTCTCCAGCCTCAGACTCAGCCAGCAGTGTGATATCACGCAGTGTGTTCGCATTCATACTACTTGGGAGCTAGAGGTGGGGCATCACTGACCTGCTGCATTGCTTTAAAGGCTACACATCATCACCTTGGCTAGACCCATTTGCACTTCTTCAAGCCAATTGAGGGGGTAAAGAAATATCCTAGCCAGTTCTGTCCACATCAATACATGGAAATAGAGCCAAGTTTAGCCAAAATGGAGACAAATGTTCTTTTTTCAAGGAGAGCTGTCCTGGTGGTCCTCTACAGGATATGTCTGGGTAGAGGTGCTGTTTCCATACATGTGTACAATGTGATGAAGAATCAGGGTAGTCAGCATGTCCATCACCTCAGACATTTATCACTTTTCTGTGATGAGAACATTAAAAATCCTTTCTTCTAGCTAGTTTGAAATATACACTAAATTATTGTTAACTATAGTGCTTGTCATCGAGATGGGCACATTAAACAAGGTTAGATCTTAAGAGAATTTGTCTCAAGCCTTAGTAGCAAGTTCCTGCTTTTACCGAAAACCAGCTTCATGTGATCCCACATGGTTTGTAAAAAAATATTTGCTTCTTCTGAATCGCTGTCTGATCTGTTTAATAATAAAGTCTCCAAGTGTTCCCTGTAAGCACTAGAGCATCAGGGTCATGGCGAAGCTGCTGGAGTCACAGAGAGAAGGCGCTTCACAGGTTTTGGGTTGACTCAACCTGATTATTTCCCAGCAGAGTTCTAGCTTTTGGCTATTAGCTCTAAGTTCTACACAGCAGAACTTCGGCAAGGGGGAAATAATATGAGATGTTGGGTGGTTTCTATGTTGTCTGGGCAAGATGGTCAGGGACTAAAGAACAGGCAAGGCTGCACCAGCCACATTCCATTCCTGCAATGGAAGATATATGGGCTTCACTACTCCAAAAGGTCTGCAGCCTAAAGATCTCAGGGGTCTTGGTTTAGCAGAACTCACCTGAGAGTTATTTTTAATAATAAACCCTAATTTGTTGTCAAATTCACTTGTATTATCTGGAGATTTTCTGGGATGTGCTTCTTTGAAAAGGTCAGGTAACACTAACTCTTTCTGAAATCAACATAAAAACACTTTGGAAATGTTTATTCACTTGTGCCTTTCATGGGGGAAATAACTGAGAGCTCATTGGAATTGTCCCCTCCCCATCTTTCCCCACTGGAACTTTGATCTGTACCATTTATTGCTAATCTAAATGTCAGTATAAGACATTGTGCTGTTATGTTTATTTTTGACAAGCACCCTCAGGAACAGACCTTGCCACCTGGTAATAAATCCCGATACCTTGTTTGCATGCTAAAGAAATGGGTGTTAAGCATGTGAAGGAAAGAAGCAAAAGAAGAGCATATTTCTTTCCAGTCTGGTGCCTAGATCAAGAACACAGGTTTTTTGACCTCAGGAAGCTACAGAACATTCTGGAAAGAAAGGCTTGTAGGCCAAGGTAAACTTACCAGGGTTGGCTAGTCGACTGCTGGTTGGACCAAGGATCTGATATGGATCTAAGGAAGACACGAAAGGAGGTTTGCTTCATTGTTGTTAAAAAGTAGACAGCACTAACAATAACAAAAGCCCCAACATTTATGCTTGTATTTCAATAGCACAGGAATGCTTGATTTCAGAAAGCTTTACTGCCTTTATCTAAAGATCTCAAAGATCTTGATCTCAGTTATATCTGAAACAACAAGGAATCAAAACAACATCATTTTTTTCATATTTGGTTTGTAAAATTCGTAGAGTGAATTGAAGGGTCACTTATGAAATGGGCTTGAAGAATGTCTCATGATGAGTACTGCTCTATTTAATACTAAAAACATTACAAATATCTGTTTTTCTGATGGAGCGTGAAAACCACATGGCTGGAAACCAAGCAGTATGGGTTCCAGCCCTAACTATGCTGTCAACTAATTTTTTTGGCAGTCAGAGTATCAGTTTTTTCATCTGTACAACGAACAGGTCAGGCTCCTGCCCTCAGTTCCCTCCTACTACCAAATTCTGTGATTTTAAGGTTGGAAATATTAACACCAATCAGAATTTGTATTTTTATCTATAAAATCATTATTTTTAAATTCTTGGTTTACTAACAACTTTGCAATTGTTTAGCACTTTAAGAGTTTGCAATATCAATTCAGGTGAGATTCATCTTTCTTGCAGTTGAAGATATGGCAGAGAGCTGGATCTCAGTTTTGCTCTATGGTCAAATCTTTTGCACAGTTTGACTTTTTTTTTTTTTTTACAATTACCAGCTGCAATATTAAACAATTCAATATGATTCTTGGATTTCTAATTAGACCATTAACTCAAAGAGTCTTTAAGGCCAGTTAGTCCACTTTTTTCATCTGCACTCTTTTTATGGCATAAAACATTATTGCCAGGTGATGTATAATTGTGCTGTTGCTGGTACCCCCATGAAACTACATCTGCTTATATTTCACAGTCAGCAGGTGTTTTCTTTACCTTCCTATGCAATGTACTCTTGTTCTGTCTTGGGAGAAGGTTGAGTACCATGTGTGCCTATCCCAAAACAAATGGCTACTTCAAAACTTAATCCAAGCCAAATCATGTGAAGAAGATGAGATGGAGCTGGAGCTTAGGCACCATGGCTGTCATCAGATCTATGAAGGCATTTACATAGCACTTTGCCTCCCAGACAAAACTAGTTTGCCAATGGGGAAGTTACTGGGGACTTTGGCTCCGTGAAACTGACCCAAGTTAGGTGGTCAATTCCACCTGACTGTACATATTTGAGCAGAGGTGAGGGGAGTATAAGACAGAGATGCTAGAGAAGGTGTTAAAGACTTAGTCAATAAGCTCCATCTCAGTACTAAAAGTTTCTAAATCTATAGCTTTAAAAGTTCTTCTGCCTTAGTTATTTAATAGATCTATGACATGGTGAGTGTAGTTTTGAAAGTATGTTTTGATGAAGCATAAAAGACTTGGACAGAAACTTGGAAGCCTAGGGTTATAGCTTTATTTCTCTCATATAGCAGCCATGTGATTTTCAGCAAATCCCTTTATCTCTCTGGGCATTAGAACAATTAATTTTTAAGTTCTGTTCTGTTTTGATTAACAAATCTCTGCCTTATCTCTGTATCTGTTCCTGACTTCACAGATCTATATATAGCAAGCCAAATACAGACTCATTTTCTAAGATAAAAGAGACAACATATGTGGTAGAATTTTCTCTTGGTATCCACAAGTGATTGGTTTAGGACCCTCACAGATACCAATATTTGTAACTCTCAAGTTCCTATGTAAAGTGGAGTACTGTTTGCAGAGAGCCTATATATTTTCAGTCATCTCTAAATTACTTATAATACTTAACACAATGTAAATGCTATGCAGCTACTTGTTATACTCTATTGTTTAGGGAATAGGGATCAGAAAAAAAAATATTCTCCATCTATTCAGTACAGACATAATTTGTCCCATAAATATTTCAGTCTTAGGTTGGCTGAACTGCTGCACGCAGAACCCACAGTTATGGAGGTCTAAGTGTACAGAGTCCAAATCTTCCAGCAGGGAACTATGTGGAACATGCAGCTGCATAAGCACAAAGAAGAGATCATACACTGGGCTGGTACCTGGCTGGGGCCGCTGCTCAGTGCTCTTGCTCATGGTCTGTGCCCCTCCAAGGGGAGGACCTGTGCAGGAGAAAGGGGATATGGTAGACGAGTTACCAACCATGGAGGCTGACATTTGCCCTTCAGGAGATGGAGGTGCTTCTGCCCAATCACTCTCATTGCCTCCTGTGTTCATTTGATTTTGTATAAATTTACCAGGGATCTGCTGTGTGCCAGCTCTGTTCTCCATGCTGGAGACTCAGCAGCAACCAAGCATTTCCTGTAGAGCTTATATCCTAATGTGGAGCCAATGCAGAACAAAATTTTTTTTAAAAGAAAGTGATAGGATAGCATGTCTGCTGAGCCTGGGGCTATGGAGCGCAGTTTAAAATAGGACATTCAGAGAGGGTGTTACTAAGAAGGTGACACTAAAGCAAAGGTCGTCTGCTTCCAGGGACCCCACCTGTTGTGGGTCCAACTCTGCAGTACCTCTCTCACACAGCCTCTCCTTCCTACTGCCACTTCTCTATCTAGGATCTGTTTTCTCTTTGCCTGGCCTCTGGCTCAGTCTGACCGGCAGGCACCTCCCCCATTTCTCTCTTCCCACTAACTCATCATATGCTCCACTGGCCAGAAACTTTCCTGAGCCCTCACTGCCTCGGAAAAATTATCTTCACAGTCCTAATCACAACCACTTCCTTACCTTTCCAGGCTTCTTTTCTATCGTATATCCTAAACTCCAGGAATCTGCGGTCCTCACTGACTGTCAGACATGCCAATCTGGATGTCCTCCAACCTTCCCAGGGCCAGGTTCCCCCTCCCCTTTCAGAGCTAAGTAAAACAGGAGAAGGTCTGCAAAGCCTTGATACCACCCAGAGGTTATGTGTGTGCCAAATTTCTCTCTCCTGCCTAAGGGACCAACCCAGGTCGGATTCATGTTTGTGAGCCCCACAGAGCCAAGTGCTGTGTGCAAAATAGAATAATGAATACATATAACTAGGATGGATGCTGATTATTGCTTGGGCACTAATTTGTAATGCCAGCCTGTTTCTTAAAAGAATTCCCTGATTCATCCATTTATCCATTTGAAGTTTTACTTCTTTTTTCTTTTGGGAGGGGGGTACTGGGAATCGAACTTAGGCCCTCATGCTTGCCAGGCAGGTGCTGTGCCACTGAGCTAAATCCCTGCCCTGATATTTTACTTCTAAAGACAGCAAGATTGGCACATCCTGGCTCAGGAAGCCAAACATCATGCTCATTTCTTATTCCCTTAATGGGAAACACTGGGTGGCTTCAACACATCCCATCTCACCACTTGGTGAACACACTGACGTCTCTAACTCCAGCATCTCTTCATGAGCCTTGCATGAAAGGAGGAGACAGTCAACATTCTCACTAAGTCTCATCAAATTGAAGGAAAAAACTCATCAAAGTTTGTTATCCTGACTTAACTAATAGATCCAAATCCAATGTTTCATTCATACAGAAACTTGTTCCAACAAACCTTCCAACTTTAAAAATTCTAAAACCAAGTGCAGCGAAACGAAGCTCAACTATGTCTATTACAAATGGAAATTTCATACCATCTTTCAAGGAGTGGGTATCATGGACAAAGCTGTAAATTAAACATTTTTTTTTCTCTTTTGCTGCTGGGGGCTAAAGGCAGGGCCTTGGGCATGCTAGACACATGCTCTACTACCAAGTTATACTCTGGAGCCCCTGAAGATGAACTCTTATATGAGTTCAAAAAGCATGAAAACAAATGCTAATCCTATTCTTTATCTCATGACCCCATTCTCCACCCATCATCAAAAAATACTTCCTCTCAAGAATGGTTTGATATTTACTTACTTTTGTTGAGGCCAGAATTCATGTTACTGCCCCATCCTCCTCTCCTGACTGAGTCATAAGAAGGGTCTAATGAAAAACAACAAATAGGGAGACATTAGCTTTGTCTGTTTTGCAGAAAGCTTACATGAAGATTATCTCTTAGTGGCCAGAAGAAATTAAATTTAATTCAACAATAAATTTTTAAGCATCACTAAATTCCTGAGGTATACTCTTCCCCTAGGGTTGGGGATGGGGTAATAGAGGAAATATTAGCACTGATTTTGAGAAGAGTTCATTCTTATCTAGGAGCCAAAGTCTTGGAAAGAACCCTGAACTTGAAGCCAGAGGGTTGACTCAAGTTCATTCCCTGCCATTATTTGTTCTGAGAGCTTGGATGAATTATAAAACCTCTCTGAGCCTTAATAGTCTTTAGTACGGAAACAAAAAATTACAGAAAGAATTATCTACCCCCTGGGTTGTGCTAATGGTCAAGTGAGATAACACATATAAAGCATTTGTAAAACTTTCTACAAATAAAAACTAACAAGGTTAGTAAGAAAAAGTGTATGAAACCACGCAGAATGAAGTCCTTCAAGCAGCTTTGAAGAGTGAGGAATGCTCAGATGAAAGAGCCCGTGGGAAGTGTCTCAAAGCCTAGGCGCCTGACTTTCCTTGGAGGCCTACCCAAGCCTCTTATTTTAGTGTGCGGTGTTGTGAAACAATACTAAGAGGTGTGGCGCATCCCAGGCTGCTGTAGGGCTGTCGGCCCTTTCCAACAAGAGTGAGTGGATGCGGGTAAGGCCTGATGGCTACAGAGAAAGGAGAAAGGCCAGAGATGCGGGCTGGAGATGTGGCTGGGAAAGGAGCGATGGAGTCAGGAGTCCAGGATGGAACTGGGCACAGTCATGCAAGCCTGTAAGCCCAGCACTCGGGAGGCTGGGGCAAGGTAACCATGAGTTTGAGGCCAACCTGGGCTGCATAGTGAGTTCTAGGTCAGCCTGGACTATAAAGCTCCTATGTAGGAGGTGGTGGGAATGAGTGATGGAGAGATGTTTCCTGCCTGGAAATGACTAGAGACTAGAGGCTTGTTTCTAGATTGTCTTGAAGAACACTCTATGAGCTATGGTGATCTCCAGCCTTTCTTGAAAGAATCCACATGCTCTATAGCCATACTCAGAAATTGGTTAACTAACTGGTTGGAGACTTCCCTCATTTCCTTTCTCATGGTGTGACTCCCATTGAGAAATGGAGTAGGAATAGCAGAAGGGTTTAAGGATACAGAATTATAACTTTCAAAGTCTTTCCATGAACAACAAAGAAACCATAAAAACCATCAGAACAAATGGAACACAAACCTCATCAAACAGCAGTCTGACAGGGGAAACTCAAACCATCCCCTACGACCTCTTCTGAGCCTCTCAAACAAATTAGAATAAGAACTGGGAAGATGGATGGGTGCATCCGATGGCTTGGTCTCATTCTTACTAGCTAAGAAGAACCAAAAGACAGGGACAATTTTCTTGTGGAAAAATCCACGTGCAGATGCACATTCCTCATAGCTCTGGAAAAGCCAGCTCAGTTTTTAAATTACAGTCTTTGGCAATTGGCATGAAAAGCAAAACAGAAAGTGGGGGGTGGGGAAGGAGAGAAGGGCAGGGAAGGGGACAAAGAGACAAAATTCTTTTAAGCTGTTTTTATTTTTGACTTTTTTTCTTTCACAATTCCTACTGAAAATAGATTCTTCTTGCTTCAGAACAAATCAAGCATGTGAGAAGTCAACTTGGTTATGAGTTGGAATGAGTCCGAGAGCTCTGTGGACATTTTCTGAGAGATCTGGGGAGGTCTACCGAGGGTGTGCAATGAGATATGCAAAAAGAAAGGTGAGAGTTGTCAAAGATTCTTCTATGGAATGGGAGAGGTTGCTAATTTGGTCTCCAATGATTTAATGGAGCCCAACATGTGTATTGTATTGTATGCTTGGACACAGAGTAGAGGTTAAGCACTATGAAACAAGTTTCCCATATGGCATTATAACCAAGGTGGTTAGGAAACGTAGTCTTGTGTCCGAAGTAAAGTAGAGCTATTGAAAGCTACTGGAGATTAAGGAGGGAGCATGAGCGGGGTGGAGAGGCCTTCATGGGGACCGTGGAACTGGAGAGTGACCTTGTTGGCCAGAAGAGAGTGAGAAATACAGACAGAAACAAGGCAAAGGGGAGAGGAATAATGTCCAGTGTGTGAATGAAATAGAGAGATGGAGGAAGAGAAGAAGTGAGAGCTAGGAGAGAGGCCATCAAGATGGAAGGCCATCAAGATGGAAGGCCATCAAGATGGAAGGTAAGCAAGCTTTGTGACTTTGTGACTCAAGCATGGAAGCCAAGGACATGCAGTAATACCAGGAAAACAGGGTGGTAAAGAATGCACTCAAGGTGAGTATAGGACATACAAGAGTGCCAGGGAAAGGAAGCCACTCTGGAGGAACAGAACAGAGAGCAGAACTGAAAGTGACAAAGAAGCAAAAGGAAAAAGAAAACCATGACAGTCCAGGAATTGGTGTGTGTCACCTGAAGTATGACTTGATTTTTCTGGCTTATTGCACAGATTAAAATCTGTCTCCAATTGTTCTAATCAACTTCTCTACTCCACCATTCACCTGCGGAAGGCTTTAACCCTTCTTTAAAGCTGCGTCATAGCTATCAGAAGAACCATGTTTTTATAGCCCATATTATGGCTGCCATTGCTATAGCGGCCACTGACTTTTAATTAATGCTTCTTCCTATTCTTTTGTTCTGGCTCCTGGCACAGAGCAAGCAAACAAATGTTCCAAGAACAGGAGAGAATTGTTTCTCTCCAACAGTGGGGGGCTGATCACCAGATTTTTGTGTAACTCTAAATGACCAACCATGATTTAAAGCTGGGGCCTCATCATGGAAGTGGCATGCAGCTCCATCTTTTCTTCTGTGTTTCAGGCCTGGGTAGAGGGTGAGGATTCTCATGGGTCAACACAGGCCTAAAGCATAGCAAAAGCCTAGACGTCCCTGGCAACCATATTGTGTTCTCTTGTAGGTGAGAGGAAGAAATAGAAACAAATAAGCCACCCAGCAATCAGCCTGAGCTGTGTCCTCACTGTGAAGCTGTAGAGCAATAACTGGTCTGGCCAATGCTGAGAGAATGCATGGGACAGTGTGTAGATTGACAGGAACAAAGATTACAGGCCCCTCCCCATTTGCTTTCCCATTCCTCTCTATTTGCATGGAAAATCCCACCACCGGCAACTGAAATACAAAGGAGAGCCTATGTCCATTTACTACAGAGTTTAGCAAATGCACTCTAGGGAGCACTGGAGACATCTACTCAATGTAAAAATAAAATGAAAATCAGTGTTTTTGGAGCAATCCCTGCTGCAGAGACAAAGCATGAAGATGGAGAAGGCCAATGCCAAGAACTAAGCTATGGCATTATGTCTGAGAGGTCTGAGGAGCCGGGAAAACTTACAGCTGAAATGACATATTCAAGTAAACACTGAGCACAGCACTTAGCACAGGACTGGCCTCAGTAAAAATCAGCAATCAGTATTAGGATTTGCACCATTACTATGTATCTAAGAAACAGACCTGGAGACATGTTGGCCAGCCTACCAAATACACACTACTTCCTCCTCCTTCCCCTCCTCTCTCTCCACCTTACCCTGCTCTACTTAATATTTTTCACTTCTTGGCTAATTTAGTCAAGACTTAATTCGTGCTTGTGGTCTGCATCCCCTAGCTGAATGCCAGATCCCCAAGGACAGGGAACTTTGTTGTGTCCTGTGATCTATCCAACCACTAAGAAAAGTGCCCAACACACAGCACACAATAAGTATTTCTTGCATGAATGAGTGGACTGGGTCAATATTTTCTCTTTTTTGCTAAGTATACACCATTCGTTTTACTGTTCCCTAGGTGAAGAGAATCCAGGCTTCTAAATGACTTCTCCCTACTCAGCCACAGCTTTAGGTGACTGAGGTCTGGGGTGATGAGGACAGTAGAGACTATGTCAAGCCTGTGTTGATTTCCTTGGCGTGAACTAGATAAGAGCCCGCCTACTTTGAGGTATAGACTAATAGCTTGTTCCCACAGGAAAGTCAAGGACTACATGCCATTCGCACAAGTGGCTTGTATTTTATTTATAGACAGGCATCACACAACCACGTCTCAGGAAACAGCACATGTAATATAGGAAAGAGGTCCCCTGATGTTCTATCACCCAGTGTCGTTGTGACTGTCTTAGTTTGTGTCAGTACATTCTATGATGCTCACCAAGGACGAAATCACCTAGCAAATGCATTATCAGAACGGATGTCACTGTTAAATAGCACAGTGTCATTGCTAAAATGAGGGTTCATTATTTTTTTCCTACTAAATGTGATGAAAGTGAAAACTCAGCAGTGTGTTCAGCTCTGGTACCAGACACATAAGCAGAAACATGTCTATAAGCAGTGTGGAAAAGCTGGATTGAGGGCTAACCCAGAAGCTCCCATTCCTAAACAAATACCTCCCTCACTGAGCCTGACGCTTGCTGTCTGTTCCAGCTCTCAGCCCATTTGCTGTTCAGTGTGGCATATGCAGAGTTCTCTGGTCTGTGCGCTGAGGTGTTCCTGAGTGTGGTGCATGGCGTCTGCATTCTGAGAACTGGCTTCCAAAAGACAGCTTGAAGTGCAGCCAAAAGACACAGTTCAAAAAATGTTCCTGTTCAGACCAGCTTGAGGCTTGATGAGCTCAGAACTTCTCTGTGGTGGCAGGTGGCTTTATCAGCAGAAATTCGTGCCCTGATTCTGACAAACTCACTTGTTACTTTAGTGAAGGCTGACACCCTCTGGCTTTACGGAGTACCGAGATGAAAAATTCTATTGTGATTCCTTTTCAAGAATCACCAAAGGACTTTGCTTGGGGTTTCTGGTTTCAGGCAGTCCTGAGATCATTTTTTTTTTTGCCAATGCAAAGAGATCTGAGTACTGTTCCAGAGAGCAGGGCATTGCCAGCCATTGTGGAGATTTCAGGCTCCTGTATAGGATGCCTTGAACAGTTTCTCCATTATGCAACGCTCAGCAT